CTGAAAGTACTCGTACTTTTTTGCCTGATTTCCTTATATTCTAAGTGTTGCGGTCTTTTCCATAGCCAAGAGCAGTTTCGTTTTCTACCTGTTGACACTACAACCAAATGTGTTACCGTCAGAGTAGCAGGGAAACCGCTCAGTTCCGTGCATGAAAGAAAAGCTACAGTAAGATAAGGTCTGGAAAATTGTCTGCGTTGGAATCAAAGGAATCAAATTTACCAACTCTGGCAGCTTCTCGCTATCTCAGTGTAAGTAAATAAGGGAACCCTTGTCTATCCATATCTCTGCTTCGGCCCATTAAGAAGCTGATCACAATTTTGCCTCGTATTTTCTCTTCCCTAAATTCCTCTGTGTTTGACAAAAAACAGTATACATGGTTTTTATTCTTATACACGTCGACTTAGAAAACTTCTTATGAAGGTGGAACATCTGAGAAATCACCCTGAATGAAGGGCAGTTTATGTCATTCCATATCGATACTACTAAGCATACTTTTGCGTTGTTCTGCCCTGGCGTCCTGTCGGTAATCGATCTGCTTTTTGTTTTAGAGATGGCCTTGATCAAGACGAAACCTGCCGAAATTCAAGCGAAATTATTGTTGACCAAACTTTCGCTCACTCTTCAACGGTGTGCATTGTCTGAGAGATACATACCTATAGGTAAACATGAAGTCATATGCTGACGCATCTATCTAACCGATATAACGTTTTATTTAGAGTATTTGCTGAAAACCTTGTTTTCAATCGCACTGTCTTTCCGATTCCCATTCGATTGGATATCACAGGTCGCAGACGTGTTCGGTGCAAGCCAGGATTCTCTACTCGATATTTTAAATCACGGCTATACGTCAGGGGTATGGTTTATAACTTTTATTATTTTGTTCATCTCTTGTTTTACAAGCTCTCTAAGTTTTACTGAAAATCATCAATTTTTATTCTTTCCGTTTCTGGGCTATGTGTTTGCAAAATAGCAATATTCACTCATTCTCTGTGGTTGACTTTAAGTCTGCAAGAGAAAGGAGGAGGGCTGGAATCTCTTATGAAGTTTCCCCTAAAGCTTTGCCACCTGCCCTTCATGGTGTTATCGTTATCGCACGTTATTCCGGTTCGGTCATCTCGGTTACCAAGGGCCATACGGGCTTTTCGAGAATTGAGCTAGGCTACGAAAGGTCGGTGATTTGAATCTGCGTCAAGCGTTGTGGCTTCTAGGGTCATAGTAGTACTGCGATGTTTCCCTGAGGTCGACAAGAATATAACGAAGACATCAATCAGCAGCGGAACCGCTGCTCCTTGTGAACACAGAAGATAGACAGCACGATGACTTCTTGGCAAGTCACATAAGATCTCATGAAATCCATTGCGACAGTTGGAGCTCACAGTTTCAAATGGGATCTTCTCACATGGAGGAAAAGAGCCGGCGCCAACTGACGAGGCTACAACATACCAACCGGACATGGACTCTCGTCAACGAATCGTTAAGACTCAAGAATTCTGAATTTCTGCAGGTGAAAGCTGTTCTACACAGGTATTGAAATCAAGACCGGCCAGTGTTAATTTTCTAGTAGAACTCAGCCTGACTGACAGAAGCATTGAATGGGAGCCTGTCAGCGTAAGAGTGGCAGTGTTTCTACTTAGGCAGCAACACGCCGAACCTTTGACCTCGCTACAGGATATGTGCATCCATTTCAGATGGGAACATATGATTCCTTCCTGGGTGAAGTAGAAGGTGCTTTATGTGAATTAACAACTTCAAGCGCATATCTAATCATACACTAAGAGATGGAAAGGCTTAATTGGAACAAACGGTTCTACCGACCTCAGACATAGTGGCAGGAAATTGTTGCCGTTTGGTGCAAACAACTGGCTGTCTATTATGAACACCTTCGAGCATCGAAAGATACATCAGTATGCCTG